TATGAGGAGAACAAAAGGAAATGGATTTAGGTCTAGATTTGCTAAAAGGAAGAAACTTCTGAAAATATAGATTATATATCAAGACAGATTATTAGAGATTGCTTTCCTTGTGGATTTTTAAAAATAGATCATTCTTCTTGAATGATTTAGCTGCAGATCTGCTTGGAAGGAAGAACTGAAATAAATGCTCTCTTGAGGTCCCCTACGGTTTGCCTAATCTGTGGTTTCTGACAACCCTTGTCCCCACCCACTGACTTTATCCCAGGTCCTCCTGGCATAGCAGAGATATGGAAGTTGATGGGAAATAGATTCTGGTACTGACATTCAGATTACTTCACTACAAGAATTAAGAAGAAATGATTAAACCGTTGTCAGTCCACCAACTGAGCAGTTAGCACAAGCAGGCAATATGGCATAATCCTCCAGTTATTTCTAGAATCTTGATGATTCAATCAATCCATTCTTGAATAAATAAGGAAAATAATTACCCCATCTCCAGAGAAATACGGTAAAGCTGTGATTCCAGTCTGAATGTGATACTGATCAGAACACAACAGTGATATTCTTTTCTTCCTACTCCTTCATGATGACCAACTGTTATTCAAAGTCTAATACATATGACAGTCTTTTAAAAAGTGTGTGATTCATGCTGTACCTTTATTGGAAATTCTATAGGATGCATGTAACTGGCATAAATCTTATAATATGAATCAGTTTTTCAAGAAATGTATCTTTCTTCATTTTTCTGCAACTTAATTTCTCTCTCTCTTTTTAGTATCATTCTGCCAAGTGACAGATACTAAAGTCCAGTGAGTTTAGGATTTCCAGTGCTCTTTTCTTCTGAGATACAGGGACTTCCATAGTGCCAGAGCATCATGGTGGGAATGGCTAGTGTCTTGTCCCTGTTCATCAGTCTATGCTGACATCTGCTAAAATGACATCTGCTGAAACATCCTGTCTGATTCCTCTGTCTCTAGCCCAAGTGGCTGTTCCATTGTCTCTCCTCTTGATTGTAGAACCTCTCTGGATATGCTTTTTCATGTTTCACTTCCACGTTCCCTCACCATTCCTAAACTGCAGAAAACTTAATGGAGTATCTAAGCTCCTGTCCCAAGAATGTGTTATGTGGGGGGAGAAGCTTCTCCCCACACCACACTGAGGCCCAGGAGATGCATTGAGACTGCCTCTGTCCTGCCTGCCAAGGCACAGATATTTCTTCTGTGCCCTCATCAAGCTGAGTGAGGAGGACTCTGGTCTTGAAACCTCCCTGGGCTCCATCTGTGGATGCACCACAGGTTTCCTCTACCAGATGAGATGAATTGGAGACAACCCTGCACTCCTTCTTAGGAACCCACCAGTGTCTAAACTTTCTTCTTTCCTTCTGATTTTTCTCTCTTCACCTTCCAATCCAGGTAGACTTTATTTGGTCTTAGAGGTGACACAGATCTTCCAAACTGTCCATGCTCAGAGAGCTTCAGGGTTTGGGTTTGTCATACTCAAAAATCCTCTTCTGCTGTAGCAGCCCTTCCCCAAGGTAATCAGTGCTTCATAGTATAGCTTTAAATGGAGGTATAAGCGAACTACCAGGAATTAAAAACGTGTCTGTTAATATATCAAAATATGGTGCCACTATACTGCTATAATAGAAATTTAATGACAAGAGGCAATGAGAGCTGGGAGGTTTCAGTGCCGGGTGAGAAGCAGAGCATCCCCCACTCCCTGCCCCCCTCTCTCTGGCAGTGCGTAAAAGCCACATAGCTATTTCTTTTGGTTCAGCATGATTTTAGTTTTTATTGCAGTCTCAGGCAGGTATCTATTACTGTATCAGTTGAGGTTTTTTTCATCTGCATCTCAGAAACCTTTTCCAGGGAAAAGGAGAGTATGTTTCTCTGCTACTCAGGGTTTGAATTAATGCCTAATCCTCCTTAATCTTGGGAGAGGGAGTCCCTCATTGGGTACATGATGGCTGTCCACATACCCTCAGATTGGAACACTGGCAAGAAAAAATAGAAATAAATGAATCTCCCCTACCTTGGAATTTAGTTCTTTCAACAGATTGCGTTAGCACTTGAAATCACTGCCTTAACTACTAAAATTGATTAAATTAGCAGCTCTGTATTTTGCCAAGATTTTTATAGGCTTTTTTCCCCCTTCTCAACAAATTAAAACCTGGCTTGGAGAGGAGCGTAGTAGACTGGAGACATTTCTCCTCCTGTTGCTGGATGCTGGTGTAGCAAGCTTTTGACAATTTTCAAAAAAAGAAATTAAATTCTTGATTACTACTCCTTATGTGTCTTATGTCAGGACTGCAGTATGAGTGTGTGGGAGGAGAACTGATGGAACATTGAGAGTTTAATAAATATTTGTAACTTGGAGTTTTAAAATGATTGAGTCACAGAAGGATATTATTATTACTATAAAAGTAGAATGATTTCATTTCAAAGGTAATGCTAGATCTTTAGTAATATGTTAATGAGGTGAATAAAATATTCCATGATATAAATGTCAGACTACTACAAACTAACAGATTTAAAACATTTAAAATTTGTCATAAAATGCAATAACTGCTAACAATCACTCACTGTCCAGAATGGTAACAGTCTTCACAATCTAGAAAGATATAATATTCAACTTAAATAGTGCAAAAAATGTGGTAGAATGATGAAGAAGTATGTATTATGATGTTCAACTGATATTATAATCTCAACTTCCAATTCAAATGAAACATTTTTACTAAACTCTTTCACTCACAACTTTTAAAATATGTATTTTTGCTTGTGTTATAATTGGAAGTGAAAATGGGACACAAAAGCATTTATATAGGATATATATATGTACATATATATGATGATCACAGCAATTTTTTTTAACTACATGAATAAAAACCTAAAAGGAAATGCCATGAAGTTTTATTAATGGTTATCTTTTGATAGTGGGCAGTTTGATTGTAATGTATCCTGGTGTTTGTCTCTCTCTTTCTCTCTTTTTTTTTTAAGGTGTTGGGTAAGGATTTTTTTTATTTCTTTTTCCTTTTTAACATTTTCAACACCTTCTCTAATAAGGATGTATTTCTTTTATGTTGACCAAATGAATTAAAAACTCTACTTTTGAAAGTAAGTCTTTATTTCCCACACTGTCACTTGTGTTTACTAAGTACAATATTTGCTTTCTTTGTGCTCCTCCTGATTGTTTGGGAAAGTGGTATAAGCAAGAATTAAATGCTAAAGTGGTTGCTGAGATGCAGCAATCTGCTCTGCATAGTGTTACCAGGAAGCACGTATCAGAACAAGGATCAAAGACACTTTGGTCTTCAAAGTAGTAAAGACACTGAATCGTCATAATTTCAGTTTAACTCCCCTCCCTCTGTGACTAGATAGATGGCTTTGCTTTTGAACTGCCCACTGTAAAGGCCCAGGTGTGTGAATGCTCAGATCTTTCTATGGTTGACAACCGCTTCCTTTCACATTTCATTTTGCATAATGATTTCAGTATAGGAATGTCATGGTGTAAAGTGGTAGGGAAATATAAGGTGCTAAAATGAGGTAAAGCACTAGTTAAAAGGCTGTGGCATTGCCTGTCAGTTGCTGTTGAGGTTTCTGCAGATTTTATCTATACACTCAGGGAATTCTACTGATGAGGAAGGCAATAGAATCTGAACAGCCAGGATCAAAAGGAGAGGATGTCTTTGATCATCTATTTGACTGAAATTAATAGTCACAATTTACTTGAGTATTTTGTAGGTGCTCAACTCATCCGAAATAACTATTTCTCATATACTTTTAACACAGCTGTTGGCATTGGTTTGTACAAAAGTGTGTTTAAGAGTCTAAGAAAACAGGTATGCATTTTCCTGATTTACCTCCGTACTGGAGTGCAAAAGAAAGACATCAGGCATGAAGTCATGAATCCTATAGGTGTTGCCAAGGTGGACAGATTCAGGAATTAGTTACTTTCAAGTAGATCTTAATTAACACGTTTGTAACAGTAACTATTTTTTCAGGTTCTATTCTGCCCCAGTTCTGTACACTAAGAAAAATCACTATTTTATTAAGCTTGTTTTGAGAGCCTTAGGGGCAATCCCTAGTGCTGTATCTCAAAGATCATCTTCAAAATTTTATAAATAAGTGGTTTAAATGAATCATCAAAGATTGTTTCAATGTTTCCCTGTCAGAGGCAAACTTGGGTAATCATTTAAGATGTTAAGTAAAAGAAAGATGCAATGTATATAACAAGGTGTAGAGTAGAAATCACAAAAATATAGGTTTCCAGGACAGAATAAGCCTTGATGGGTGCCCCACCTGAGAATGTTTAGAATATGATACAGCTCTGAAGTCTGTCAAAAAAGACTCCCATCTTTTTTTTTTTTTTCTGTAGTAACACCTTTGTGCCTGTCAGAGTCCATGTGCTAGGACTAATTGAACCAGGGTGGCATGGAGGGGCTGGAATATTGGCTAAATGAAAAGCTTCCTAGGTCTAGAACATGATCAGGAGTGGATAATGACCTCCAAGTTCTGGCAAATCAGAAGTGATTAGTACAGGTGGAGCAAAGCCTACATCTAAGAAAACCTAGATAAGTCAGTCAGTCCCAGATAAATAGAGGTACAAGGGTGGAACCAAGAGTAAAGAAATGCTAAAGAGTTGAGCTGGACAATGGGTCTACCTGTGGGAAGGATTCTGAGAGCAGAGACCCGGTAGCCAGAAGTGGGTTGACAGTTGGGATGGATAGACAAAGACCATGTCAGGATCAGTTCCTCATCTATAAAGGGTGATAATAATAAAACCACCCTCAAGATGTTATTGAAAGAATTAAATGAGGTAATGCCTGCAAGAAAACAAAACAAAACAAACAAACCCTCACCAGGTAACCAAAAATGGATCCAGAACAAGAAAGAGCATAAAAGAGGCAAGCAAAGTTGATGCCCAGGATGGATGCCCAGGATTCTTTGAATGGCTTTTAAATTTGTCAAAGTTTTCTAATCAGTGCTTCTTCTCACTTCCAGAATCTCAGAGGCTTCTGGGACTGGAGTCTTGTCATGCCTCCGCCTAACACCAACTCTATAGAAATATGATTTCATTACCACAACTAAGGTAAGGTTCTACGTAACAAAGCTATTTCTGCCATCCAAAATAATGCATATCGATGACAATTTGTTTTCATCTGCTTAGCATTAACTCCCAGTAGGGGAATAATCTTGTAGGCAAATACATTATCTCATACCAGATCATAGACTCTCAAGACCAAAGGGACCATGGAAGACAAAATAGTCCAACAAGATACTTCAACTAGCTACAGCATCCCTGTATGTGTTGTCTATTGCTCCCCAATATTAATAGGCTTAAAACACAGTTATTATCTCACACAGTTTCAGAGTATCAGGAATCCTGGAGTGGCTTATCTGTGTGGTTCTGTTACCTGAAAACCAGGTTTACCTCTTGGTGGGTGTTGAGCCAAAAGACGCAACCAAGCCAAAGATCTGGAGAAGGAAGGATTTATTACTTGCAACAAGTAAGGAGACCACCGGGAATCTTTCCCAAAGCAGTGTCTCCCTGAACAGCAAAATTGGGGAAGTTTTAGGCTAAAGGTAGACACATATTCGTTATAAGGAACCCCCTACCTTATCTTCTTACAATGACACCACCCAACATTTCCATTTCCACTATATTATACAAATTTTAGTATGTATTCTTGTCGTATTATAATACTTCTGAAATCATGATGTCTCTCTTATGGTTAATTTATTTGAATAAGGTAGTGTCATTTTTCCTGAAAAACCATTATGAAATCAATGGTGCTTCTTACAGTCACTGACATTTCAGAGTTGAGGAAATCAACCTGCCAGTATTAACTTGCTATCAAAGTTTTGTGTCATCAGAAAATTTGAGAGGTATACATGTAAGTCATTTGCAGCTGAACGCAGAACAATCTAACAGGGATAGATAGGAGATTCTGAATTTCGGTCTGAAAATCAGCTGCACAGTTTCAAGAGGAGAGATATGTGGCTCAACAGCAACAGATCTAGGAGTTTTAGTTGACTGAAAACTTGATAAGAATCAATCATGAGATACAATTAGGCAAAAAGCAATCTGTGTAAATAGAGTTTCAAGCTCAAGTTAGGATCCTGTCTTCTCCATTTCCTTCTGCCCTCCAGCAAAGTACGAGGCTGCTTCTGCCCATACACTTGAAAAGTGAAGCCATGCCTATGAGCAAGCGACCAAAATGAAAAACAGATTATCACAGAAAAAAATAGTCAAAGAAATTTGAGTTTCTCGTCACTCCAGTGACTGGAGTAGCATGTCTTCAAATAGTTGACTGTCTTGTGGAAGAACATTTTGGGATTGAGTTAGAACCGATATGTGGAAGTTATTGGAGATATTAACTCAGTACAAGTTAAACCATACTGCTCTTCAAAAATGGATTTGTTGCCAAAAGATTGGCCTCCGTCCCTGACAAGCCAAATTGAAACTCAGAGACGGAGTCTTGGAACTTAAAAAAAGAGAGAAAGCTTTATTATTTTGCTGGGCAAAGGAGACTCACAGCAGGCTGGTGCCTTCAAAACTATGAACCCACCTTTGGGATGGGGTAGGGTGATTATATAGCCATTGCTCAAACAATAAAACATAGGTAACAATTAACAGAATCATTTTCTCGTCATAAGACTTAGAGTGGCGTCATGATGCCTCCAGGCAACCAATTCTATAGAGAATATTGTTTGTCACTTTTTCTGTCTTTTTTTCCCGACTGGAATAAAGCAGAAACAGTAAAATTAATAGCTTTATTGTAACAACGGGCCTGGAGCTGTGAGTAGCAACTGGTCAGTCAGGTCAGTTACCATTTTAAGGGCAAGCATAAGAATAAGCAATCTGTTAGCCTAAATGTGGCCATTTTATTAATCCTCCTTCAGATGGAGCTGCCTCTCAGTCTAGCTACCCATCTCTGGAGGTGCTTATGATAAAATCAGATGACATCTTACAGGGAATTGTGGTAGCCAGACTCTAAGATGGCTCCCCTGATCCATAGCTCCTGGGATTCATGCCTCTGTGTCATCCTCTCCTTGACCGTGGGCTGGACTTAATGATTTATAATGAATAGATAAGGCAGTATGACTTAGAGACAGGGTCCTAAAAAAGCAATACAGCATTATTCTTTTTTTCTTGTACCACTTGCTCTGGGGGAAGCCAGCTGTAATGTATTAAACAGCTGAATGGAGAAGCCCACATGGTGAAGGGCAGAAAGTTTCTTACCAATAGCCATGTGAGTTTGAAGTGAATCATCTAGACTCAGTCCAGACTTAAGTTGACTGCATTCCTAGCCGACAGTTTACCTGCAATCTCATGGGAGATCAGAGATGGAACTGTAAGCAAATAGGATAGGGAGTATCCAGAGAAAGAGAACCAGGCATAGCTTTCTTGACATAAGAGAAGCCATTTTTGGCCTGGGCCATTTAGTAATCTAAGCCTGGCCACAATGCCTGTCCTTGAACAGGTCTCAGTAATTAATGATCTAAAGGGAACAAAAGAATGCCTGTTAACAGGCAAGAGAAATAACAATAGCAAAGATAATTTATCAGTTGTTATCAGACTCCCAGTTCTGTTTCAGTGATAAAGATTAGCCTGAAGCATTCGATCACCAGATCAACTAGAACCTAAGGGATGATGATGTTGACCTTTTCTCACCCTCATGATTTAAATTAACCAAAGTTTGGGCCCTGTCAACCTTTGCCTCAATTCTGTGACCTCACCCAAGCCCCTTCATGAATATGGATGTACCCTTAGCTTAAAACTTCCCCAATTTTGCTGTTTGGGGAGACATTGCTTTGAGAAAGATCCCCAGGGTGTTCTCCTTGCTTGCTGCAAATAATAAATTCTTCCTTCTCCTGATCTTTTGGCTTGACACCCGCCAAGAGGCAAACCCAGTTTTTCAGGTAACATCAGCAGCATTCAAAAAGGTTTCACCAGGCTAGAAAAATTAGACATATCTGAATCAGGGCCAAGAACATAACCCCACTAAAACTAATTCTATTTATTTAATCATTCCTTCTTTTATTTAAAAGTTTATGGAACATCTGCTATGTGTTAGAGGTAGTATAAGGCAAAAATGAGTAAGACATGGATTCTGCCCTCTGGAGCTCAGAGTTTACTTTTTTTTTTTTAATTCAAATATTAGAGTTTCAACTTCTTTTTGAACACAATATTATTGCTTCTCAAGCATCCTCGGTGTAGTTTAAGCTCTGAGTCAAGACTTTTCTTTATATTTGGGTAGATCCTGCCTGACAAATATGATGGCTTTGAGAATTTGAGCTTAACAAATTCATTGTTTGGGTACTTTTTCTCTGTAGTTTCTAAATAAATTATAATGAAGGGATCAACTGTATACATGGATGGATGCATAGATAGATAGATACCAGGAGTTGCAGCAGAGAAATTAATCCTGTGTTTTCCTGAAAAGACAAACTCATTATCAGACTTCTGTATTAGAAAGCCAAGAGAAGTTCATGGTAAAGAAAGAGACAGAGTTGTGTATCATACTGTGAAATAATAAGAAGTATATATACATATTGATTTCTGCTCTCTGTTCCTGACACATGGCTCCTAAAATTTTTATAAATAGGGGTGCTGGGAGAATCTTTTTTTCTAATGTTTAGTCTTTGACTCTGGTTCCTGGCACAGCGCTCCTAAAACTTGTAATTTCCTAAGTGACAAGAGCATTAGGAGCATCTTTTGTTCTGTTATTTGGTCTTTGACCCTGGTTCCTGACACAGGACTCCTAAGTCCTTGGACTTTCCAGGTTGGCAGGAGTGTCTTTAGGCAGTAGCTCTGGGTGGGCTCCTGGATGGCTCCTGGTTGGGGACTGGTCACCAGAAAGACAAAACTATGGCTGGAAACTTGAAATTTTCTGCCCAACTCCCATTCTCAGAGAGGGGTCAGGGACTGGAAATGGAAAGTTATTAATTAATTATGCTTGTGTGATGAAGCCTTCAAAAAAACACCAATAATATGGGGTTCAGAGAGCTTCCAGGTTGAACATATCCAAGTACTGGGAGAGTGACGCACCCCAACTCCACAGAGACAGAAGCTCCTGCACTCAGGACCCTCCCAGAACTCTCCCTATGTATCTCGTCATCTGGCTGTTCATCTGTATTCTTTATCAGATCCCTTATTATGTAATAAGCCAATGGACATAAGTAAGTGTTTCACTGAGTTCTGTGAGTCATTCCAGTAAATTATCATACCCAAGAAGGAGGTCATGGGAACCCTGATTTATAGCCAGTTGTCAGAAGCACAGGTGACAACCTAGGACTTGTGATTGGCATCTGAAGTGTTGGAGGAAGGCAGTCTTGTGGGGCTGAGCCCTTATTTTCTGAGATCTGTTGCTAATACAAGTTGGTTGTCTCAGAACTGAATTATGATGATGTCACAGAGAATAGCTTTGTAGGGGAAAAACACCCATACATTTGGTGATCAGAAGTGTCAGAAGTGAAATGTTCTCTCTGAGTAGTAAAGGAGAAACACACAGGAGGAGGAGTGAGTTTTTCCTACTCACATGCACAGACTATCATCATTCACTTTATTTCTTAGGTTGTGAGCAGAGGCCTGAGACGCAACATTCTTAAATTTCCTAACGTTAGAAGTGAAGTGAGAAGAGAAGTGGTGACCAGTAGGAGATAGCATGGGTCCATCACTCAGGTTGCCATAAATGTGTTAGTAATCCTCTGTCTGTATATGTACTAATCATGTGTCATAGTTTGCAGTAACAGCTCTCCATAAATTTTATTTTCAGGTTGAAAAACAAAATTTGAAGAAATGGGATTTGCATTAATAACTTGGAGAGGTAGTAATTCTTTTCCAAAAATGATTTGGTGCTTTAAATTTGAATATGGTTTAGAAAAAGATTTTATTTCTGTGTATAACTGCATTCATTCCCTTGTTGACTTGATTAATTAGATCTGTTCTGTTTACATAGTAACATAAATATTTTAGAGTAAAACCCAATTTAATAAATGAACAAACTTATTAAGATGTAATTACTTTTCTAAGTTGTATGTTTTAAAAGTCATAATTAGAATGTGGATTACAAAACATTCTACATG